TCTTGCTTTACACACCTTACTCACCTGATCTTACTCTGTGCGACTTATTTTTGTTTCAGCAAATGTAGAAGGGCATGAAAGGACAGCGATTTGATAGACATAGAAGAGGTGAAGAAAAAAATGGGGGAGGTGCCACCAGCCATTCAAATAGCTGAGTTTGAAAAATGTTTCCAAGAATGGAATCTTAGATTTGACAAATGTATTGAGTGTAATGGAGAGAGAGTATTTTGAAGGTGATATGGTTGTTTTGTAAAAAAAAATTAAATCCATAGCTTTGAAAAAAAAATTCCAGTTTTTTGGGTAGCCCGCTGTGTGTGTGTGTGTGTGTATCACCACGATCAAGTGGAATCCACATCAGGCATGCAAAGATAGCTCAGTATTAGAAAAGCAATCAATGTTGTCCACCACATAAACAAACGAAAAACAAGAACCACAGAGCATATCACTCCATGCAGGAAATGCATTTGACGGTATTCCAACACGCCTTCCTGGTAAAAGAACAGTGAACAAAAAAGGAATCAAAGGGGAATTTCTCAACCTAATAAGGGCCTCTGTAAAATACTGGAGCCAATGGGGAACAACCAAACCATGTCCCTGTGAACGGGGACCAAACAAGGATGTCCCTGTCCCCACTCTTAGTCAACACTGTGCTGGAGGCCTTAGCCAGGTTAATCAGACTACAAGAAGTAAAATAAACACAGTTAGACAAAAAGACGTGCAATGCTTCCAATATGCAGATGATATGACTTTACATGTTGAAAACCCCAAAGACTCCACCACAATGAAGGGAGAAAAAGAAGAAAGTGTTCTAAAATGGGTTTGGTAATGATGATACAGCTCATCTTAGTGCGACTGAACTGCTGATTGTATGCTATGTGTTTCATGTGCCAATAAAACTATTTTAAAGAAAGAGAAAAATAAATAAATAAAAAGATAAACAATTAAAAAAAAAAAAACGCCAAAGACTCAACATACCGTATATACTCGAGTATAAGCCACGTTTTTCAGCACATTTTTAATGCAGTTTTTATGGTAAAATTAGGTGGCTTGGCTGGTATTCGGGTCAGCTTATACTCAAGTATATACGGTAATATTGGCAGAAACAATCAAAAGATTTGGCAACATGGCGGGATAACAGATTGACACAAAAAAGTCTATTGGATTCCTATATATTAATGAAGATAATTCTGAAAAAGACACCAAGGAAATAATACCATCTACAAAAGCCACACAAAAGATAAAATACTTAGGAACACACCTAACCAGAGAAACAAAAGACTCAGATAAAAAACCTACAGATCGCTACTACAAGACATCAAAGAGACCTAACATCATGAAAATGTCAATACTACCCAAAGCCATCTAGAAGTACAACCAAATTCTGATCCAGAGCCCAACTCTATTCTTTGAAGAAACAGAAAAACTAATTACTAGTTTTATGTGGAAAGATTCAGGATAAACAGTGAACTTCTTAAGAACAACATAGCAGGAGGCCTCTCACTGCAAAACCTCAAAACATAGCCACAGTTGTCAAAACAGTCTGCTTCTGACATAATGAGAGGTGCACAGACCAGTGAAATGTAATAGAAAACCCAGAAATAAACTCATCTGTCTAAGGACAACTGATCTTTGACAAAGGGCAAAAATAAATAAGAAAGAGATACTTTTTAAACAAAAAAGTAGGCAGAGGACAAGAACAGACAGTTCACCTAAATTGACCCTGAAATGGCTGGCAAGCACACGAAAAATGCTCAAGATAAGTTGCCTTCCAGGAAATGCAAATCAACAATGAGATATCACACTGACAATGAGAGCCCAATTAAAAAAAAAACACCCAGAAAACAGAAAATACTGGAACTGGTGGGTCTGTAAATATGTACCACCACTGTGGACAGTGATATAGTGCTACCTAAAATAATGCAAAAGAAGCCCTGGTGGCCTAGTGGTTACACATTGGGCTGTGAGCATCAAGGTCAGCAGTTTGAAACCACTAGCAGCTCTGCAGGAGAAAGCCCCAGCTTTCTACTCCCATTAAGAGTGAAAATCTCAGAAACCCACAGGGTAGTTCTAGTCTGTCCTATAGGGTCACTATGAGTCAGCATTGAATGAACAAACAACCTAGGATGGAAATCACACTTGATCACGTACTATTTCTGCTGGGAATTAACCCTAACGAACTAAGAGTCATAGAAGAAACAGATGTATGCACTCCCACATTCATCAGAGCACGGATCACAATAGCAAGGAGTTGGAAAGGACCCCAAAGCCCATCTACAGAAGACTGGATAAAGAACCTTTGGTGTATGTACACACATCGGAATACTATGCATCACTAAAAACAATGACAAAATCATGAAGCACCTCGTTATATGGCTGGAGACCTGAAGAACACTATGCTGAGGGGTTAGTCAATCACAAAAGGACGAATATTGAATGAGACCACAACTGTTAGGGTAAACACCACGTCAAGGACTTGCGTACCAAAGGGACAGCCTATGGAGGTTCCCACGGGAGGGAGAGCAACGATGAGAAAATGAAGGCAAGGACTAGAAGGCTGACAAGTACGGACAGTCCAAAGGAGGATGGGGCCCATCAGAAGGGAAAGAGAACTCAGGGGAGGGAGACCGGGATAGAACATGGGGTGGTGTCGATGAGAGGTTTGAACTCTTGAATACAGAGTTGAGAGAAAGATGAAAAAACTAAAAACATACATAAATACTGGTGTACTTGGTAAACTGCTCAACCTCTGGAAAATTGTACACAGACAGATGCATATACCATTTTCCTATTTCAATGAGTTTAAACTCCCACAAAGACCACCTCTGGGCCCAAACTAAGATCAAATGAAAGTTAGGCAATTGGCCCAGAAGAGACAATTGGGGTGGGGGTGGGTAGTTTCTGAGGGAAGATGTTTTTCAGGGGGAGATTTTGAGGGTAAGGAGTAGGAAAGCCACTGTTTTGGGGTTCAGATGGACTTTAAGATAGTGGTTTGGGACCAGAAGTGAAGGGGTCCAGGGACCAGAAAGACAAGAATGTTCTTTCCAAATGCCTAGAAATAAGCATCAGATAGTGCGTCAGGAAGGTGAGTATCAGAGAGTGCCAGGTTATTAGAATAATGTGTCCTTGTGTTAAGGGAGGCCTTCAGGAGACACCCAAAGTCCATCTGCTATCTTAATACTTAACATATAAATATATGTACATTGGCCTCTATACCTTTCATTATAAATTAATATATTTACATATATACATGCCTATAGCTGAAGACAAGGTGGGTGCATGAGCAAATGTGAAGAAAGCAGATGGTGCCTGGCTATCAAAAGATATAGCATATGGGGTCCTAAAGGCTTGAAGATAAACAAGCAGCCATCTAGCAAGGAAGCAAATAAGCCCACATGGGAGAAGCACACCAGCCTGTGTGATCATGAGGTGTTGATGGGAGCAGGTATCAGATATCAAAAGATCCAAAACAAACAATTATATCGATGTGAAAGAGGGGGGTTGGAGTGGAGACCCAAAGCCATCTGTAAAGGATTGGATATCCCCCCACAGAGGGATTACAAGGAAGGGATGATTCAACCAGGGTGCATGCAGTATAGCACCCACAAAACACACATCATTCTTCTAGTTCCTGAAAGCTCCCTCCCCCACAGCCCCCACCATGACCCAGTTCTTCCTTACAAATCTGGCTAGACCAGAGTACACACATTGGTACAGATAAGAGCTCTCTACACATGGAATTCAGGACAGATAAAACCCTCAGAAACAGTAGTGGGAGTACTGATATCTTGAGGATAGGGGAATGTTGGGGGTGGGGTGGGGCAGAAGGGGGAGAAAGGGGGGACCATCACAAGGTTGGATATATAACTCCCCCGGGGAGGTATGAATAACAGAAAGGTGGGTGAAGGGAGACAACGGACATGAAATAATAACAATATATAATTCATCAAGGTTTCATGGGAGGGTGGGGGAGGAGGGGAAAAAAAGAGGAGCTTATACCAAGGGCTCAAGTAGAAAGAAATTGTTGTGGAAATGTTGATGGCAATGTATGTACAAGTGTGCTTAATTTGTAAGAGTCCCCCCAATAAAATGATTAATTAAATATATATATATATATATATATATATAAATTTTTTTTTAAAGGAAAAGAATGTTTTGAAAATGATGATGGCAAAAATTATACAAATGTGCTTGACACAATGGATGGATGGATTGTGATAAGAGCTATATGAGCCCCAATAAAATGATGAAAAAGAAATAAGCGTGTGAGGCTGCACCCTGAGAGATGGTAGGGTAATGATCATTGTTGGGAAACCCAGAAGGGAGAGATACAGAGAAGAGGTAGGAGGGAGTGGACAACATGTCTGGGCTGGCATTAGACAGTCCTAGGATCAGCTTCACCACACCACTCAAGTTGTTGAGAAGGCTAATTAGTTACCGTAGATACTTGAGGATTAGCCGACCCGAATATCAGGCGGGGCACCTAATTTTACCACAAAAACTGCATTAAAAATGTGCTGGAAAACTCGGCTTATACACGAGTATATACATTAGTTGGTGGTTTGAATCCCACTGACTGCATGCACCTGGGGGACCTGTTTCCGTAACAATTCAAACTCCCTGCCATGGAGTCGATGCTGACTCAGAGTCCCCGTACAGGACAGAGCGGAACTGGCCCTGTGAGTTTCTGAGACTGTGACTCCTGATGGGAACAGAAAGCCTCATCTTTCCTCCTCGGACCGGCTGGTGGTTCTGAACTGCTGACCTGATGTGCTTAGCAGCCCACTGCATAACCACTACATCACCAGGCAGACGCAGCATGAAAACCTGCAGAACGCAGTTCTACTCTGTACCACGTGGGGTCTCCAGGAGTTGAAACTGATCTGATGGCAACGGGTTGGGTTTGGGGAGGTTGGGTGAGCGTTCACTTAGCTAACAGGGGCCCTCAGTGAGTGCTGCACTTTGCATGTGAGGATCTGGAGAACTACAACAACCGTGCTTACCGAGAACGCCAACGGAGGCGATGGGCTTTGCCGATGCACTTTTCCAGGATGCTCCAGAGGGAGTTGACCACTTGCTGACCATCCTCTCAGCCAGGAAAGCATATTGAAGGGCTCTTGCTTGCCCAGACTTCTGAAGGTACACAAACAACTCCTCCTCCTTTTTGATGCCCACCTCGTACGGGTAAGACGCGGCGACCTGGACCGCCTGGACACAGGTCTCGGGAGAAAGGCGCCCAGGGTACTGCTTGCGTACCCTCAGCAGTGCTTCCCTGAAAATGGCGTCCATGTTGGGCAAGCTCTGGACAGGCCGGCTGTAGAGCCTACGGGGGCCCAGAGATTGACCTGGAAGGAATAAGAAAGGGAATCAGGTCTTCATACAGGGGGAATATGAATCTATAAGAACAATAACCTGTTCAGATTCAAAGTAGAAAATCTGATACCGTGCATCAAGATAGTCAACGTAACGACAATCTCAAACTCTCTGACATCTTTACCATGTAGTCCTTATAAGACAGACGTGAATAGATTCAAAGTAAGTTTACGTTACCTAACTCAGCCAGAACAGTGGTATTTTTGTTTTATTTCAAGGGCAAGGGAGTTTTAAAATACATTAAACATTAATCTGTCCATGAATTTATGGAAAACGGTTCCAGGTTAACAATATTCTAGAAGGAAAGCAATCTTAACCTCATTCCCAATAGCAACAAGGAAAAGAAGCCGCAGTGTTAGTACACAGGCAGTCTCGTTTGCCAATGGACAAGAACCGCGACGACGCAGAAACAAGCCTGTACACTTAGGGTCAACTGCCTTTCCACACAGGTGGCGGGACCTGAGTGCGGGCAAGAAGGGTCTTTTCAGTAAATGGACAGCTGACTAATATGCACACACAAAAAGATGAACTTCGTTCCATACATACCCTGTTTCCCTGAAAATAAGACAGTGTCTTATATCAATTTTTGCTCCCAAAGATGTGCTCAGTCTTATTTTCAGGGGATGTCTTATTTTTCCATGAAGAAGAACAAAGTACACATTTATTGTGTATTGTTTTATTAAAAGAGACCTCACACTTCCTGTCTGCTCTGGCTGCGCTGCGGCCAACAGTGAGCTGCACAGCAGTGCCCACTGCTACAGTCCAGTCACGGTAGCTTCGGGGGGCCTAATTTTTGGGGCAGTCTTATTTTCGGGGGCGGGTGCCTTATATTTCAGTGAGAGGCAAAACTGTAAATAGGTCTTATTTTCGGAGGATGTCTTACTTTCAGGGAAACAGGGTAGCACCACACAAGGATCCCTGGTGGTGTAGTGGGCTGTTAAACGCAAGGCTGTTAACCGCAAGGTCAGTAGTTCAAAATCACCAGCTGCTCCTCAGGAGAAAGATAAAGCTTTCTATTCCCATCAAGGGCCACAGTCCCAGAAACCCACGGGGCAGTACTATCCTGCCTTGTCGGGTCATGATGAGTCAGGATTGACTGAAGTTTGGTTGATAGCAACACACACATATAATTAACTCACAATGGATCATAAATCTAAATTTTAAACTAAAAACTTCTACCTGGAGGCTTCCTCACCCCACACTATCATGACCCCAATCCTGCCTTTCACTTCAGGGTAGGCCGGAACATGTGCACAGGCACAGATAAAAGCTCAGCACACACAGAATCCAGGTCAGATGAACCCCTCAGGGACAGAATGGGAGCAGCGATCCCAGGAGGGTGTGGGGACAGTGGGGAGAGGAAAGGGGGGGTTGCATGAAGGAAGGGAGACAGTGGTTAGTGTAAGATATGAAAATTAAAAATAATTTATCATTTTTCAAGGGGTCACGAGGATGGGAGTGGGGGAGGGAGGGTAAAAAGAGAAGCTGATACCAAGGGCTCAAAAATAATGTAAATGTTTAGAAAGTAATGATGGCAACATATGTACATATATGCTTGATATAATTGATGTATGAATTGTTATAAGAGCTGTAAGAGCCCTCAATAAAATGATCTTTTAAAAAAACCAACAGAACAAAAAATCATATGAATGGGGGGAGTGCGGGATTGGGACCCAATGCCTATCTGTGGACAACTGGACATCCCTTGCAGAGGGGCAGTGGGGAGGAGATGAGTCACTCAGGGTGCAGTGTAGCAACGATGAAACACACAACTTTCCTCCAGTTCTTAAACGCTTCCTCCCTCCCCCGGACTATCATGATCCCAATTCTACCTTACAGACCTGGTTAGACCAGAGGATATACACTGGTACAGACAGGAACTGGAAACACAGGGAATCCAGGACAGATGATCCTCTCAGGACCAGTATTGAGAGTGGTGATACAGGGAGGGAGGAGGGTAGGAAGGGTAGAAAGGGGGAATCGATTACAAGGATCTACATATAACCTCTTCCCTGGGGGATGGACAACAGAAAAGTGGGTGAAGGGAGACATCAGGCAGTGTAAGATATGATAAAATAATAATTTATAAATTATCGAGGGTTTATGAAGAAGAGGGGAGTGGGGAGGGAAAAAAAAGACAAGAAAAATGAGGCACTGATTCCAAGAGCCCAAGCAGAAGGCAAATGTTTTGAGAGTGATGAGGGCAACGAATGTACAAGTGTGCTTTACACAATTGACGTATGTATGGACTGTGGTAAGAGTTGAATGAGCCCCAATAAAATGATTAAAAACAACAAAAGAACTAAAAACTTCTAGAAGAACATGAGTAAATAAAAAATTTTTTTTCATTAGGTATTCTTATATGAGTCCTAAAAAAAACAAGAAAAAAGGTCATAAATTGGATGTTATCAAAATTGAAAACTTCTGTACATCACAGGATACCACTATGAAAAAAAGCAAAAAAGCTGTCGACTGGCTGAAAATGTTTGTGTGGTAGCCAGCAGCCTCATCCACCGAGAGATGGTGGCGCCCTAACACCCAATGCCCACCTGAGAGGTGGGACAAAGCCTAAAGACCCGGGAGAGGAAGGTTTTCCGGCATTATCTGGTTGGCCTCCGCCTCACCTGTAGAAGCAGGAACCCTTTTCTGGCTTGCTGAGGCCTTCCAACGGAACAGAGCTGCAGCATGAAAACTCAACACGGAGGGCTGCGACCCGGAGCCAGGGAGTGCAGCGGGCTCTTACACGACCAGGGGGTGCTGACCCTACCTGGAAGTGCTGGTGACACGGTGGTTAAGGGTTCTGCTGTGAACAGAAAGGCAAGTCGTTCACATCACCAGCCTCTCCTTACAAGAAAAACGTGCAGTCTGCTTCCGAAAAGATCGGCAGCTTAGAAACATGGTGGGACAGTTGTACTCTGTCCTGCAGTATCACGATGAGTTGGGACCGACGTGATGGTCATGGGTTTTAAAAACGAACAAACAAGCTCACTGTCATCTAGTCGATTCTGACTCATAGCACCTCTGGTGGCGAAATGGGTACGAGTTGGGCAGCATATCACAAGGTCACCAGTTCGAAACCACCCACCGCTCCAAAGGAGAAAGATGAGGCTTATTAAGATATATTCTGCAGGCCTCACTCATGACTCTCTGACCCAACAGGTCTAGGGAGGGCCTGAGAATGTGTATCTCCATCAAGTTCCTGGGAGAAAGATGAAGCTTTCTACTCCTGTAAAGAATGATAGTCTCAAAAACCCAAAGGGACCGTTTTACTCTGTCTTCTGGGGTCACTGTGAGTCAGAATTGACTTGGTGGCAGCGAGAACAATGGGTTTTAGTTTGGTTTAATCCTACCGTAAACCTGAGATATTGAATTCTGCTGATGACCTCAATGAGAAGGAAACAGATTCTCCTTTATAGCCTCCTCCAAATAATACAGCAGCTAAAAACCCGGGATTAAGTCCGACAAAATTCACACCAGACTTCTGACCTATGACACTGTAAGATAATACATTTTTTGGTATTTAAACTGCTAAATCTATGGTAGCTTGTTAGTGTAGCAATAAAGAACTAATATGATTTGCAAATCAAATATCTTATAAAGAACTTGTATCCAGGATATATAAAGTGTATCATATACCTCTTAAGATGAATATGAAAAAGATAACCCAGTTACCTTGAGTAGGTATGTTACGTAATTTCGTGTCAACTTGAATATATATAAATGTGTAGGGGTGGTATTCAACCTGTCAATCAGGTCACAGCCTGATGGTACCTTCTTGTGGGTGTGGCTTTCTCCCAAAGAGGACCCTGGGAACCTCTGCACCCCCACCCTCCACTCTCTCTGCCTGCACCTTCCTGATGGCCGACCATGATGACTGCCATTGGATCCACAGGGCTCTGCACCCACCAATCTGTGACCTTCCTGCATTCTGCATCACTGCTGTGACTGTGGGACTCTGAAGAGGGACTTAGGGACTTGAGTTGGACTGGGCTGGGATGTTTTCTTGATAAACAACTACTCCTCGATATAAAGCTCTTTCTTTCACAAATGAGTATCTGAGTGTCTCTGGCTTTGTTTCCCCAGTCAGCCCGGCCTAACACAAGGTATTTCACCAAAGAGGATATGCAAACAGCTAAAATGATGCTCAAAACCATTAGTCAGAAGGCAAATTAAAAGTAAAGCACAACACATGGAGGAGATAACTTCTAAGTAATACGCTATGATTCCCAAGTTTACCAAAGACTCTGGGTTTGGTCCTGTTCACTGTCCTATTGTCTCAGGTGCTCACTCCGTGGAAGTCAGCTGTTAGGGTAAGAACTATCCTGAAGAGAGGCTTCTATGACAAATAAAACTGACGAAGACCTCTGGCCAACAGCCAGGGAGGGACGAAGGCTCTATGTCCAACAGCCCGTACAGAACCACATCCCACTAACACAACACTTGAGTGAGCTTGGGACCCTAGACTCCTCCCCAGTCAAGCTTTGGAAGCCACAGTCCCTGCTGACCCCTTAGTCACAGCCTAAATCAGAGCCTCTATTGAAGCCATTCCCGATTCACAGAAACTGTAAGGGAAGAAATGTTTGATTTGTAAGCTCTGAAGTTTGGGGATCGTTTGTTATGCAGCTATGGAGCATCCACACACACCCACTCCTTCTTTCTCACTGTCATCGCCCTATGGGTTTCCAAGACTGTAACTCATTCTGGAAGTAGAAAGCCCCACCTTTCTCCCATGCAGCAGCTGGTGGTTTTGAACTGCTGGCTTTGTGGTTGGCAGTCCAACTATGCCATCAGGGCACCTTTCAAAAATATTAGGCTAAATGAAAGAAGCGAGATGCAAAAGACTGCATTCTGGATGATCGTATTCATATTTAATGTCCAGAAGAAAGCAAGTCTACAGAGGCAGAACGATCAATGGTTGCCAGGGGCCGGGGTCAAGAGCTGGGGATGACGACAAATAAGCATGAGGCCGTTT